GTGACAGAGCAGGCGATGACGGGCCTGGACACGCCACAGGCCCGCCCCAGGGCCTGCTTGGAGCGCACAAACACATAGGGCACGTTTTTGTCTTCACACAGCAGAGGGAGGTGCAGGATGATCTCCAGTGGCTCAGCGTCCGCAGCCATCACGATAAATTCGGAGATGCCTCTGTTCAGGGTTTTGGTGGCTGTGGAGAGACAGACAGAAGTGATCAATAGATAACATGGGGCTTGGGACAGAGAATAGGAAAACCATAGCAAAGTGGTTTCCAAGGAAAGAACAAGTTCAAGCCACCCCCCCACCCCTTGGAGTTGTCCTAGAATTCAACTAATTGTAAAAAATTCAAACACCAATTACTCAAATCCTGCACTATGCTCATTAGTTAGTTCTGTCTTTAAAACACATCCTAAATCTATTTCCTATTCTCTATTTTAATGAGAGCCAACTACAACCTTAAGTATTGTTCAGTCGCCTGTGACCCGTAGCAACCCTAGGTACAGCAGCTCTGAAGCGTGCCCTGTCCTGAGCCAGTCTCACTAATTCTGACAAATCAACCCTCATTGCCTCAGTCACGGTATCAATCCATCTCCCTTAGGGTCTTCCTCTCCTGCACTGTCCCCTCCACCCTTCAAAGCAGGATGTCCTTCTCCAAGGACCAGTCTTTCCTAGCCATGTGCCCAAAGTAAATCTTCCTGAATTTAAAGACCTTAGTAAGACTATATTTGCAAAACAACTGAGCTATCATCTCACCCCAGAAACAATAGCAAAGTTCAATAGGGCAGCAAACAACAAATGCTGGTGAGGTTGTGAAGAGATTGGAATTCTTATTCACTGCTGGTGGGAATGTAAAATGGTATAGTCACTAGAGAAGGCCATCTGATGCACACAAAATTCACACAATAGTACACAGCATTGAAAAACAATGAACCCATAAAACATTATACAACATGGAAGAGCCTGGAGGAAATATTTCAGTCACAAAAAGGACAAATACTACTTAACTCCATTATTATAAAATAGAACACACATGGTGGGGGGATTTGGGAGAGAATGGAGTAAAAGTGGATAATGAACACAGCATTAGGACAAATGAGGGAAGTAACTATCCTAAAGAATATATGAATGACAATAATCTGGAACGAGGGGTACATTGTGGAGTGGACTGGGGGGAAGAGGGGTAGAAAATGGTCAACAAAGCCTAAAGACTACATTTCCCAGTCTGCCTTGCAATACTGTGACTATGCGTCTGAGCACAATGGTTATTCAGCAGGAATCTTGCATCCTAAGCAGCTCACTACAGCCAGCAAAGGGGCAAGAACAAAGGGATCTGGGCCCTGTGGGCCAAGGAGCAGCCCAGAACCAATCTCCTCCAGGGTTTCACATGACAGATACTCCTGTGTCCTGGACAAGCTATTATTCTGGGGTTTATAATTGTCATAGATGGAACCGTGCTCTCTCCCTCCTCAAATGTATAAAACGTTCCTATACGGATGAAAAAAAACCAAACAAACCAAAGAACCTATTTTATGGGAGTCCATAGAGCTTTTGTTCCTGAATGTGAAGGAGTGAAAATTAACTGAAGACCAACCACATAAAGTCCAAAGAGCAGCATTCACCCAGATATGAGATTCAGATTATGTGATATGAGTGTATGAGTGAAAAACCAACCTGCTTTGTAAATTTTCAATCAAATCACAATAAAAATCATACACTTATATTTTAATATAAGATAAATATCAAGAAATTTAGTATCACACATAAAACCAAAAGGGAAAAACACTCTTGGCACTTCTCTAGCTGAAAGAACTGAAGAACCAATTCACCCAAGATGCAGTCCTTAAGGATCCCTGGTACTTCCTGAACAACACAGGAAGTATACGACGAAGATAGAGGTCTTTTGATTTCCTGACTACTAGTGTTAAAAAGAGTGTTGACTGTGGAGCCAAGCAAGATGTAACTGTTAACAACCTCAATCTCTTCTCCATCCTTCATGGTACTACCAACTTGCCCAGTGGTGAGAATCTTTGTCTTCTTTATTTTGAGCTTCAATCCATATTGAAGACTACATGCAGTCCTTGACCTTCTATAGTAAGTGCTTCAGGTCCTCCTAAGTTTCAGCAAGCAAGGCTGTGTCATGTGTATGAGTCTTCCTCCAATCCTGATGCCACCTTCCTCCTCATAAGCCCAGATTCCCGAATGAGCTGTTCTGCAAAAATATGGAGACAGGACGCATCCCTGACACACTCTTTTCCTGATTCTGAGCCATGCAGTGTTTCCCTGCTCTGTTCTCAGGACTGCTTCCTGGTCCAAGTATAGGTTTCACATAAGCACAATCAAGTGTTCTGGGATTCCTATTTTCCTCCAGGCCAACCACAATTTGTTGTGAAGGATGTTTACCTGTGTATTACTGAATACGTGAAGGCATCTGACTGTCTGGATCCTAACAAGTCACACTGCAAAGAATGGGGATTCCAGAATACTTAATTGTGCTCATGCAGGTAGCTCTGGTGGTCTAGCAGTTGCACCGTTAATCCAAAGGCCAGAGGTTCCAATTCACCAGATACTCCACAAGAGAAAGATGAGCAATCTCCTCCCATGTATGTGTCTGACTGCCTCTGAAAACCTGATGGGGGGCCAGCTACAAGGCGGTTCTCACTCACTGGCTCTTAACGACATAACACAGTCTCTACAGAGACTATGAAGCACGAGCTTGTACAGAATAAGAAAATACCGGAAAGGTGTGCTTCAGGGTTGGATCCTTTCCTCATATTTGCTCAATCTGTGTGCTGAACAAATAATCAGAGAAAGTGGGCACCAGGGTTGGACAAAGAGCCATTAAAAGCCTGCGTTATATGCAGAAGACACAATCCTGACTGATTAAAATGAAGAGAATGTGAAATACCTACTGATGAAGATAAAAAATTACAACATTTAGTAAAGATTATACTTCAACAAAGGAAAAAAAACCAGACCAAAAAACAAAGCCTTCACTACGGAACAAGAGTGAAACCATTCCTTTACTTGGATTCCAAATCAACAACTATGGAAGTGGCAGTCAAAAAACCAAAACCATTATTGCAGTAGGCAAATCTACTGCAAAAGATCTCCTTAAAGTGTTACGTGAGGACAACTAGAAGGCAGCATCCGTGTTGTACAAAGGATTGCTGGGGGTCAGACCTGATTTGATGGCACCTCACACTACAGATGATCCCCCCCCCCCCCCCAGAACCCTTGCAGTGTGATTCACTCATTAGGGTAAGCCCAATCTTTTGAGTGGTTTCTGATCAACAGACTTATACTGAATAGTGTGAACTGCCAGTAATAGCTTCCAAGGCCTCATCTTACCTGTCACTTCTTCAGTGACACCAGCCTGCCAAAGTTCTTGCACTTGGCCTGTAATCTAATACTCTCATAAATTTTCATATATTATGTGTCCAAACTTTACCGCCTGAGAAAGACCTTCCCTGAACATCCCAGCTCAAAAGACTTGTCAGTCATTTGTAGACTTTTAATCACAGCAAGGGCAGGACTTCAGATATGTTGTCCATAGGGTTGCTACTAGATGGCACCTAATAATAATAATCACCACTACACCACTCTGTCATCTCTGTAACAGACTTTCATGGACTGTTGGTATTTTTTTCTGTTGTTGTTGGGGTTTTTTTTGGAGGGAGGGGCACACACACATAAAACCAAAAAGCAAAACAACATATATCCAGCCTTCCCTCCAAATTAAAACTCCAGATGGCAGTCAGAGAGCCCCACACCACTGCAATGCGCACACCCTCTCATGTTTTATTTACCCTCATTGGCTCCTTTCCGAAGCTGTTTGTAGTTACAGGACTGCTGGACAAGGTCCAACAGCTTCTTGGTAAGGTGGGCATCCGCCAGGGGATAGGCTTTCGGATTTACATCGGCCTCAGTCTAGGGAAAGAAACAAATCGTCAAGATGAACCCCAAATTGTCCTTGACAAGTTAAAAAATACTTTAATCAACAACTGAGAGACATAGTGGCCAGGTCCTCACCAACACACACTGAACACCAGCCTGTCCATCTCCGCTTACAAATTCACTACCACTGAGGAGGTTCCAACTCCCAGCAACCTCCAGGGGATTTCCGAGGCTGTAAATCACGCAGGGTGCAAATGATCATCTTCCTGTTTTGTTGTATGTGGTTGCCTATAGCTGACCGTCCAGGTTTTCAGAAGCATTGAACTGCACAGGAGGAGACTGCCCTTCTCCCCTAGTGCATGTGGGATTGCAGGGCAGCTAGAGGTGTGGCCTTTGGGTTCACAACACCACTCCCCTAAAGTCAGCTACAGAACTAGATGCAAATCACCTTTTTCCTGTGGTCACTAATTTAATATATAATTGCAAACACCCCAGGTGCTATCAAGTTGACCCTGACTCCTGGAGGACTATAAACACGTTCCTTCTATAGGGTTTTCAATGGCTGACTATCTGGGACTTTCTCCTGAGGCACCTCTAGGTTGACCTGGATGATCTATCAACCTTTTAGAGAGCACCAAAGTATGCTAAGTCACAGAGTTCTGTTTCTTTTCCTTTCTTTCGTGTGTGTCCCATCAAATCGGATCTGACAGGTACAGGAGGAGAATGCCTCTCCTTCAGCACAGCATCTGGTGGATTCTTTTCCTTTCTTTCTGAATCACCTCCATATTTCTCCTTGCTACTGGTTTGGCATCTTGTTTTCTGAGAAACCAAATGCCCATAAACTGATCATAATCATACCTTTATCCTCCTCCTGAGCAAGAAAGGACATCACACTAACTCAACGCACTCCTCCATTTAAACTGCAGTATTTCTACTGTGGCTTCCCACAATTCACCTCTAGAAATCAGAATACTCAATTTTTAGTTACTATCTGATGCAGTCAAACGCTCTATCCTTGAGCTGCACCTGAAAAGAGGGAGAGGGTGGCTCCAAACCTCATTAAATGGATGAAACCCCAATACCGAAGTGTTTTGCAAGCTCCTTCCTCCTAAAGAAATATCAACCAGAATTAACACTCAGTACATGATGTCCATCTGGAGACTAAGGTGCCTCTGATACAGGCAATTACCTGCTATGCATCAGAGATCTGGACAATGACTAGGGAGGATAGAAGGAGAGTTGATGCCTTTGAGCTGTGGTGCTGGAGAAGAGTACTGAATATACCATGATATACCACGGACTGCTGGGAGAACAAACAGGTTCCTCCCAGAGAGGGTGAAGCCAGGCTGCTCCTTAGAGGCAAGGATTCTGAAGCTTCGTTGGACATGTTGCAAGGTGGGACCAGTCCTTGGAGAGGGGCGTCATGCTTGGGAGGGTGGAGGGACAGCACAGGAGGGGAAGACCCTCTATGAGGTGGATTGATTCAGTGACTGGGGTAAAGGGGATAGGCGTGTCTGAGACAATGAGATCAGCACAGAATAGAGCAGGGTTAGAGCTGTGGTACACAGGGTCGCTATGAGTCTCAAGTAGTCACTTGAGAACAGCACATAACAACATCATCATCATACGTGATTTAAGGAGGTCCTAATGACACATAACAACAACAGTGTTAAGAAGCTGTGCTCCAACCGAAAGGCATGCAGTTCTAATCTACCAGCTGCTCCCAGAGAGTAGGCCAGGCAATCTCCTACGTCATTTACTGCCTCTGAAAATCCACTGGAGGGTGAGCTACGGGCTGGCTCCGACTTGATGGCGCACAACAGTCTAACGCAGAAAACTCCGGTGGCCTCACTGAGCTGCCACCCCAAAAGCACCAGGTTCAAAGCACCAGCTATTCTGAGAAAGGTGGGCCATCTCCCGCCCTGTGACTTCACGCCTCCGAACACCTGCTGGAAGGTCAGCTATGGGCTGGCTGGCTGTGACTCCAGAGCAAACAACAATCCAATGCACAGACAGGGGATCCTCAGGCACCCAACAATTAAAGATTGTTGTAATTATGTAATGAACTTAAAGTGAAGCTCAAATGTGAAACCAAACTACCTGCCTGAGTCCGTCTAGCTGCAAACCTTCCCAGGCCCCACGCTGACAGCACGCCGGGCACAAGTCAGTAACGCCCAGCGCAGCCACGCTCCGGTTCCCACACGAGGAAGGAGGGGGCGCCCCGGGCCTCTAGAAAAGGACAGAACCCCACTACCGAAGTGTCCTGCAAACTCTCCCGACCAAATGTCAGCAAGCAGGACACAATCCTGTCCCCAGCTGGGCCTGAAGAGGAGCCGCACGCAGTCCCTCCGGGCCCCGCATCCCCTCCTCACTGCCGAGCACGTGCGACTCGACCCCGGGGCTCCCCTTCCTCCCGGGAGCCCCAGCGACGGGGGCGGCAGCGGGCGGAGTGGCCCCAAGCCATGTTCTCAGGGATCGGGGGCGGGGAAGAGGCACCAGGCTTTGCAGAGCGCCTTCTACGCTCTCCCACGTGGGCTGGCCTCTTCCTCCCGGACCACGACTCCGATCAGGGATTGGCACTAAGATCCCCGGAGTTCTAACACTCGCCCGGGAGCCCGGGACCGCGCGGCTGCTTGCATTCTAACCACGGGCGGGCCCGTGCACGTTCGAATCCCGGGCCCGGCTCCGCGGGCCTCATGAGGCTGCCCGACCTCTAGCCCCAGGCCCGGCCAGCCAGATGAGAGGCGATCTACGACCCCGAGAGGTTCCCGAGCGACGCGAACCCGAGTCCCCCGACTCCCGGCCCCCGGCCCGGCGAGCGCGCGCGCACTCACCATGGCTCCGGTTCCGCAGCCTCACACTTCCTCCGCCTCACAGTTCCGAAGCCTCACACTTCCTCTGCAGGCGGCACCACTGGAAAATCGCTCACCGACGAACTGAAAAATAGCCGCCGGAAGCCGGAAGCGGAAGTGGCGTCACAGTGGGTGTCGCCCTCGAGCCCCGTCTGGGAACGTGGGGGTAGAAATGACTTCGGTTCTGTTCTGAATTTGAAGGCGTCTTTTTCTACTTTAATGATTCACTTTCTTCTCTCTCTAAGGGGCTCTCGTAAATAATCTGTAGTGTGTTGCGTTGTTAACAAAAAGCTTCCGATCAGCTAGCGGCTTCGGGGGAAAAGATAGACAAACTCGCGTTAAAATTTACAGCGTTCCAACCACCATCGAATGGACTGAGAAATTACGGTACATTCGTACAAAGGAATACTGCGGCACGCAGGAGCAATGACTTTGTAAATTATTACCTAGCTTGGGAGGGACTGGAGAGCATTAATACTGAGTGAACTGACTCAGTGCCACAAGGACAAATATTGTATAAAACCATTATTGTAGAATGAATATGAGGGGTTTTAAAAAAAATAATTTTAATGAACATTTACAGATATTTTGGATTTCCATTCATTCATTGCTGCACTTCTCTTCCCTCCCAGCCCCCCCTCCCCCAGTTCGCTCCTCTCTTTTATTTTGTTAAAATTTTTTTTCGCTCCTCTCTTTTAAAAGTAAAAGAAACACTCCCTCCCTGGGACAAAATCCTCTCCCACCCCTCCCACCGCCCCAAGTACATTCCACTATGCAACCTTAATTGTGGACTCTTGTGATAACCATAATACCCTATCATACGTCGCTTTTAAATTGAGTACGAGGTTTTAAGAGGGGGGAGGGTGGAAGCAGAGGGATGAGGCTGTGCGGGGTGGGGAGGGTGGATTAATCATGGGGTTGTACAATTTGATGAGGGGATGAGGGAAGTTGGAAGAATGGTCTGAAAAACAATATATTCGAATTTTGTAAATAAATTAGTATAATAAATTACAGCGTGAGAAAAGTTTTGACTTGCGACTGAGGCATTCTGTAGATCAGTTTATGGTACTTTGATGGTTGGCTTGTTGCTTGGATGCGTGGGAACTATTGCTACTGAATAGCAAAAGCGTCAAGGCTCTACTTAGAAAGATTGGCCAAGGAAAACCTTACAGATTTGCTCATAAGCATGGGAACTGTAGGGAAGATACTACCTTGCACTGTTTCCTTCTGTAGGGTTGCCATGAATGATCCAAAACAAAATATTTCAATGGTGGCATCCCTCCATTGCTGGCTTATTTATTTTCACACAGTATTTCTTGTGCTTTCAAAATCATCATTTAAATACAATAGTAAAGGAAATGTAAGAACAGGTGATCATTTTTCTTCATTTAGATGTATTTCGTGTAAAAGTTTCTGGTGGAGGGAGGAGTTGGAGTCCAAGGAATAAGGAGAAGGTAGGCTTAAAGTATGGACCTTTAGAAATCATGCAGTGCAACCTTTTTGTCATGGGTTGAATTGTGTCCCCCCAAATATGTCAACTGGGCTGGGAGATGATCCTCAGTCTTTTGAGTGTAATGATGCATTTATTCTCACAATACAGTCAGCTGTGATCAGCCCCCTCCAATATAACCAGATTAGGAGGAGACACAACACCTTTAGTTCCGTTATCACTCTAATCTGTTGTATAGGCAACTTCTCTAGGGTGTGGTTTGCAACTCCCACCCTTGAGAGTGTCTAAGATCAATCGATGGAGTCCAGACAATCAAATTTAACGTCACACCTCCACCCTTGGCTCTCAGGTCTGTGATAGTTATCAGATGCAAGCAGTCATGTAGGAAACATTTTGTAGCATATTGGTTTATTAAAATGGATAACTGCTTCCTATCAGGGAGCTCTGGTTGTCTAATGGTAAGGAGTTGTGCTGCCAACCCAAAGGCAGGCAGTTTGAATCTTCCCCTGTGCAATTTACACCCTCTGAAAACCCACTGGGGAGTTCAGCCATGAGTTGGTTAGGGCTCAATGGCACGCAACAGCGACTTTCCATCTTGGTAAATAGCTGCTACTCCTTCCTCAGGGTCTCAGCCTTGAAAGAATTAAAGGCCTGGACCATTCTCATTGATGGATGCCCATGCCTACTCAGTTATCTAATGTTTTAAATATTCCACTTTTGAGTGAAAAATAGTCATCAGAGTAACATCTGTTTCCTCTTGTGTGTGTTTTTTTTTAAAATGAAATTTTATTATTTTGTATGTGTGTACCGTCAAATCGGATCTGACTGATACAGGAGGAGATTGACCCTCCTTCTCCAGCAGAGCTTCTGGTGGATTCAAACCACGTACCTCTGGGATTGCAGTGCAGCTTCTTACCACTAGGGCACCAGAGCTCCCTGTCTCTTGTGTGTTTTTTAAAGGAAAACCAGTTTCCTCTAAACTTTCACTGACCACAATAAGACATTAATAAAAAAAGAATAAGAGTAAAAAAATCCAAATAGATAAGAGTTTTATAGCAAGGATCAAATGCATCTTAGGATTTGTCTGGCCTCATTTCTGTACCTGGAAAACTCCTAGCTATCACTCCTCAGTTTCTTTTTTGGAGATGTAGATATCATCCAAAAATTTTCAGAAATCATTGTTTTTGATTGTTGTAGCTTGCTGAATCAAAGCAGGTGAATTTGATACAAACTCAATGTCATTTCCTTCACTAATTAACCCATCCTTCTCGGCTTCCTATATGGAATAAGCAACACCTGGTCTCATTCGATCCCTCCAAATGCTTTTTTCACCCAAGAAATTTTGAATTGCAGCCAGAATTTCAACCTGAATTGTTTTGGCAGAAAATGTGAGATTTAAACACTCCGTCAATATTGGAGATTAACAAAACTTTTATTATGCACACGCCAAGAACGTCAGCTATTTCCCAAACTCCCAAACCTTTTTGACCCCGAGGGGAGGCAAACATTGGGCATATATACAGAGATTGGGCCTGGTGGTTACACGAAGTTTACTGAGGCTGGCGGTTGAGCTTTCTTTACATTCGGGAGTCATTATTGTTTCTGACTTCTCATGGACGTCCAGGCCCCGGGTCAGGCACAGGATGTTGTCAGGGAGTATTACTAAGCTGGGTCAGCATGTACTGGGAAATGGAATCCTTAGTAACATATTATTGTCAAAAGTATTAAGGCATTCATTTCTTAAAATGGCTGTCAAAACAAAATAGCTTCTTTAATGCTAACATATAAAATGGCTTTTCTAATGCTTAGCATATAAGGTGCTATTAGAGAATCGCAAATTTCAACCTAAATACCAACATTGATGGGGAAATGAGCTTACACAGACTTCATCTTGTAACGAAAGCCCAGTGTAACAACCTTGATCATGTTCTGTACGTGGCTACAGCTGAGTGAACTGTAGCCGGTTCCTTCCTTTCCCCCCACCATTTGTCAACACGAAGCCTCTTCTTTTTATTTCTAAGGAGACTGAGCTCTAAGCTGATGTGATTGAAGTGCCTCCGCAAAGTCCCCTGTTGACCTTTCAAGATAACTATCACACAGTCCTTCAGAGTATTGTCCACATTCTCTATCTGGTTGCTGAGAATGGTCTGCATTCTTGCAGTAAATGTGGCAAAGCATAACATCTATTTTCTTACCAACATGATTTTTTTTAAAAAAAAATTTGGAATAAATATATATAAGACGTGGGACTACTAGATGGGGCATTTCTGGTGCAGGGAAAGGAGGATCATGTATGGCCTAAGGACATAATCTTTTTTACATATTTAAAAAATATTTTTAAAAAATTAATTTTAATGAAGTTTACAGAGACTGAGGATTTCCATTCATTCATTGTTGCACTTTTCTCCCTGCCCACCCCTCCCCCTAAGTTCACTCTTCTCTTTGAAAAGTAAAAGAAAAATTCTTTTATTGTTATACAATCCCTCCCCCAAAGTCCACTCCACTGTGCAGCCTTCATTCTGGACTCCTGTCATGACAATAATACCTATTCATATATCCCTTTTAAGCAGTTCTCTCCCTCATCTGTTTCAATGTGGTATACATTATTTATCCCCTCTTTCTCAGTCTCCCCTCAACCCCGATGTCAGTCCCGTTTTATAAAAGTGACACTATGCAATATTTGTCCTTTTGTAACTGAAATATTTCACTCAGCATCATGTCCTCCAGGGTCATATATTTTGTATAATATTTCATGAGTTCTTTGTTTTTCAATGCAGCATAGTATTCCATTGTGCGAATATACCAAGGCTTCTCTATCCATTTGTTTGTTGATGGGTACTTGGGTTGTTTCCAACTATTTGCTATTGTGAACAAAGCAGCTGTAAACGTGGGTGTGCATGTATCTGCTTGAGTGGTGATTATGGTTTCTTTAGAGTATATTCCCAGTAGTGGAATTGCTGAGTCAAATTATATTTCTACTTGAAACTTTTTGAGAAAGCGCCATACAGCCTTCCATTAGCTGTTGCACCGCTTTACACTCCCACCAACAGTGAATATGGGTTCCAGTTTGTCCACAACCTCACCAGCATTTGATGTTTGTTGTTCTGTTAAATTTTGCTGTTCTTACTGGGGTGAGATGATATCTCAAAGTTATTTTGATACCAATATGCTTTCTGAGGTGGGAGAAGTAATTCTTCAACAGGAAATCAAGATACTGTAGCAAGAGACACTGGATGGTCAAATAAGAATGTTGTTTGTATTTCATGGAGGCAACATTCAACAACTAGTGATGACATGTGATGGACTAGAACTGCCCCATTTGGTTTTCTTGGAGTTAATACTTATGAGTGCATTTTAATATAATCTTCATGATTGAGAATAATGGGAATCCCAGAACACTTAATTACACTCATACAAATCCTATACATAGACCAAGAAGTAGTTATTCAAACTGAGCAAGGGAACATTGCATGGTTTAAAATCAAGAAAGGTATGTATTAGGGTTTTATTGTCCACATCTATTCAATCTGCATGCAAAAAATTCACTCCAGAAGCTCACTTTATGAAGAAGAATCTGGGATCAGGATTGGAGGAAGGCTCATCAACAATCTGCACTATGTAAATGACGCCAGCTTGTTTGCTGAAAGTGAGGAGGACTTGAAACATTTTGCCGAAGGTCAAAGAATATATCCTTCTGAATATCAAGAAGACAAATTCTCTCCAGTGGATCAATAAACAACATCAAAATAAGTGGAGAAGATTAAAGGTGTCAATAATTTCATCTTACTTGGATACACAATCAACAGCCCGGTCCAAGCAGTCAGAAGACAAGGAGACAAATTGCACTGGGAAAGTCTTCTGTCAGGGACCTCTCCAAATTACTAAAAAACAATTATATCGATTTGAAGACTAAGGCTCACCTGATTCAGGTGATTCTTTTCAATCACCTGCTATGCCTCTGAGAACTGGTTGATGAATAATAATGTCAGAAGAAGAATTGATGTCTTTGAGCTGTAGTGTTGGAGAAGAGTACTGGATATCCCAAGGAATGCCAAAAGAACAAACAGATAGGTCTTGGAGAAAGTGCAGCCCGAATGCTCCTTGGAGGAAAGAATGACAAAGCTTTGTCTCATACACTTTGGTTATGTTGTTAGGAGAGGCTATTCCTTGGAAAGAGACATCACGTTTGGAAAAATGGAGGGTCAACGAAAGAGAGGAAGACACTCAGTGAGATGGATTGACACAGTGTGACTGCTGCAATGGCCTCAGGTGCATGAGAGATGATGAGGCTGGTACAGGAAGGACAAGGTTCAGATCTGTTGTCCCTAGGTTGCTATGAGTCATAATCAACTCAGTAGCACACAGTAACAACAATCTCTCTGAAAGGGAATGGTCTGCTCTTTCACCCACAGTGCTACTGAGGGGACTCAAACTACCAACCTCTTGGTCGGCAGCCAAGTGCCTAGCTTTTGCGCCACCAGGCCTTCTTGTTCAATTCAGTGCTTATGAAATGGTTAATAATGCATAAGTGGATGAAAAGTACTCTTAGGAAGAGAGAAGTCAAGCAGATCCTGGAGTAATAACCTACCCTCATCATATAGGATGGGAACTTCGTTGTTTCTTCCAAAGGACCCAACCAAAATCAAGTTCACTATCATCAAGTTCATTCTGACTCATAGCTAGTTTTTGGCATGTTGCTAGAAAAAGGCTATTCCTTGGAGAGAGACACTGTATTTGGAAAAATGGGGAGTCAGCAAAGAAGAAGACGACCTTCAATCTGACAGATTGACAGTGACTGCAGCGATGGGCTCAGGAGTGTCAGAGCTGACAAGTTGGTGCAGAATGGGACCAGGTTTAGGTCTGTTCACAGGGTCTCTATGAGTCATCCTCGACTTGACGACACCTAACAACAACATAGCAAACCCATATAACAGAGGAAAAATGCTACACAGGATTTCCGAGGCTTTGAATCTTTATAGAAGCAGATTTCTGCATCTTTCTCTCATAGAATGATTGGGGGTTTGAACCAACCACCTGTCAGAGGATAGAGTTGCTTAAAGAAGTCCCACTTCTCTTGTGAAAAGGCCTGGTGGCATAGTGGGTTGCATGTGGGGCTGCTAGCTGAAAGGTTGGCTGTTTGAACCAGCTTGCCACCCCGCAGGGGAATAGGTGAGGCAGTTCCCACCTCCCATTAACATTAGCGTGACCAAAGTGTGTGAGACAAAGCTTTGTCATTCTTTCCTCCAAGGACCATTCAGGCTGCACTTTCTCCAACCCATTGGAGGGCGCCATGAGTCAGAATCTATGTGATGGCAATGGATTTTACCCCCCCCACTCTTTTGGGTGGTCCCTGAATGCTGTCCTCACCTGCACCCAAGTCCAGTAGCTAGAGCTGAGGTGGGGCCCCATGCTCCATTGTGAGGCGGTCTCTGTGACAAGGATCTTATTAGGCAGAGGCCTGTCTGGGACACTCAGATAGGTCCTGCCCTTCAACTTGTCAACATCATCTGCCTGGCCTAATGTTGCTATGTTGTTGCCACTGCTGGGCGCCTGTGCCCTGGTGGGGCCTTTCCAGGGCTCTGAGTGGGAGCCAGTGCGGGGCCTGCTCTCCCAGCACGACAGCTGCAGGGACCCTCGGTGCTATGGCAAGCTGGTCCTGCTCTGCCTCTTCCTGATCTGGCAGGTCCAGCACTTCTGGCTGCAGTTCCACCAGCGCTGCACCAAGCAAAAGAAGGTCATCAAGGTGAGGGGGCCCCACCACTGCTATTCTCCCGTGTTCAGCTCCTCGTCTCAGTCACTGTTTGCAAGACCCTGTCAAAGCCAAGCTCATGGCCTTCAAATGGATTCTGAGTCATAGAATCCGTGTAGAGGAGAGTAGAACATGAGAGAACTCCACAGGGCAGAGTAGGGAGGGGGGAACCCCAAAGGGCAGAGTAGGATGAGGGAGAACCCCATAGGGCAGAGTAGGGTGAGGATAACCCCAAAGGGCAGAGTAGGGTGGGAGAAAACCCTGTAGGACAAAGAAGGACAGAGAAGAAACCTGTAGGGCAGAGTAGGATAGGGGAGAACCCCATAGGGCACTGTGGGACAGGGGAGAAACCCGTAGGGCACCGTAGGACGGGGAGAGCTCTGCAGGAGAATGGATTAGTGCTCCAAGGAGTTTCCTAAGCTATACTCTTTACAGTATCAGACATTTTTCTCCTGCAGAGCAGCTAGTGGGTTTGAACTTTTGACAGTTTGATTAGCAGTCAAGCACTTCACTATTGCACCACCTGAACTCCCTCAAGATCCTGTCCAAAATCCACTGTCAATGAGTTGATTCCAGCTCATACGGACCCTGGAGGAAAGAGCAGAACTATCCCATAGTTTCCCATAAAGTCAGGTCACTATGAGTTGTACGTGACTTAATGGTACCTAACAACAACAACAACAACAACAACAACAACCCCATAGGGTTTCAAAGGCTGAACAGCCAATTGACTAATTTTCTCCTGTGGAGCAGCTGGTAAATTCAAACAGGTTATCTTTTAGTTACCAGCCAAATGTTTTAGCCACAGAACCACCAGGGATCCTTCAAGACTCTGTCATTGCAGTTGTTAGGTGTGTTTGAGGCCACTATGGTTTGGAGCTACCCTATGGACGTGTTGGAAGCTGCCCTCTCCAGCACCGCCCTCACGACCTCTGCCATGCTCAAGCTCATGGCTACAGTCACTGTGTCAATCCTTCTTGTTGAAAGTCTTCCTCTCTTTCTCTGACCTTTCACTTTCCCCAGAACTTTCCTAAGGACTAGCTAGCTAGCCTCTCCTGACAACATTCCCAAAGTATGTGGGATGAAGCTTCACTAGCCTTGCCTCTAGGGAGCACCCTGGCTGCACTGTCTCCAAGACAGACTTGTTTGTTCTTTTGGCAGTCCATGGGATAGTCAATACTCTCTGCCAACACCATTATTCAAGGGTGTTATTCTTCAGTCTTCATTATTTATTGTTGAATTTTTATATATATAAGAAGCAATTTAAAGGCAACATAAAACAAATTTTTTTTAAAAGAAGCAATTTTTTACCAGTTGTAAAAAAAATTAAAAATAAAAAAAGAAGCAATTGAAAATACCATGGAATACTCTAATCTTAGTCAAAGTTCCATACTACGTGGCTGTTGGTTAAAAGTAGAAAATGCCAGAAAGATTTTTGTTGACTATAAGAAAGCATTTGTATGGCTTGTAATAAATTATAGCTAACACTGAGAAGAGTGGGAATGCCAGAACACATCATTGTGCTCATGGGAAATGTATATATAGGTCCAGAAGCAGTAATTCACAACAAGGAGACATTCATGGTTTAAAACCAGGAAAGGTGTGCATCAGGGCACTATCCTTCGTCCATACCAATTAGAGTTGTATACTGAGTAAATAATTAGAGAATCTGGATTATATGGAGAAGAATGTGACATCAAGATTGGAGGACAGCCTAGACTCATCCATGTCACGTATTAAAAGTTCTTTCCTTGTTTTTCAGTGATGCCTAGTATTCCATTGTGAATGCACCACAATTTCTCTATTCATTAATTTGTTAAAGGACATTTGGATTGTTTCCATTATTCTTGCTCTTGTGGATAATGTTGCAATAAACACAAGCCTGTATATCTTTAAAAAAAAAAAGATTGGAGGACAGCTCATCAACCTACATTATGCAGATGACACAACCAGGCTCTTGGAAAGTGAAGAAGACTTGAAGCACTTGCTGCAGAAGATCAAAGACTACATCTTGCAAAATGGATTATATCATAACACCAAGAAAACAAAAACTTTCACAACTGGACCAATGAACAAAATCGTGATAGATGGACAAAAATTGGAAACTGTTTAATTTTCAATTGAAATTTTCTTTAGTTTACAATGAACATCCCTGGGAGCAACCATTAAAAAAACATAGATGTGTTGGCCTTGGGAAAACCTGCTGCAAGAAACTCTTTAAAGTCCTAAAGAGTAAGGGTGTGAGTTTAAAGACTAAAATGTGCCTGATCCTAGCCAAGGTATTTTTAATTATTTCCTATGCATCTGAAACCAACTTGTTCTCTCAAGGCAAGGATTTTTTTTCCTTTTTATTTTTGGAGGAAAAGATTTTGAAGCTCCAACTCACATACTTGGACATATTGCCAAGAGGAACCCGTCCTTGGAGAAAAGCATCATGCTTGGTAGTAGGGTGGAGGGACAGGCCAGGAGAAGACCTTGGATGAGATAGATTGATACAGTGGCTGAGTAATAGGGGCAATGTGTCAGAGACAATGAGATTGGCTTGAGGACAGGACAGGTTCAGAGCTATTGTGGATAAGGTTGCTATGAGTTGCAGGTGACTTGGTGGCATATGACAACAACAACAAGAAGCATCTGAAAGTTGGGCAATTAATACAGAATACAGAAAAATAATTGATGCCTTTGGATTACAGTGTTGATGGAGACTATTGAACATAGCATAAACTGCAAAAGGAACAAGCAAATCTGTTTGGAGGAAGTGTAACTAAGGCACCCCTTAGCGGCAAGGATGGTGACGCTTGTCTCACGTAATTTGGGCGCGTGTCAGGAATGGCCAGTCCTTGTAAAAAGACATCATGCTAAGAAGGTTAGAGGGTCAGCAAAAGAAGACCCTCAACAAGATGAATCAACACAGTGACCGTAACAATGGACTGGAGCATGTGGGGGACTGTGCGGAGGGAGCAGCATAGAGCGAGGTCCCCCTCTGTTGATCACAGGGTCTTTGTGAGTCATGGTAGACTCAGCTGCACCTAACAACACTGATAACAATGATCTTGTCTCGTGATTGATGCCACGGTATTCATACAGAGGTCCTACATGATACCAGTGATATGAGCTTGACTATTAACATAAATAATAAATAATAATAAGTTGTTTTTGTTGTTATGTGCCATCGAGTTGCGTGCAACTCATAGTGACCCTCTGTACAACAGCTCTGAACCCTGCCCTATCCTGAGCCTATCTCATCGTCTCCAACAGACTTAATCCCATTTCTCCAGTCCTAGTCAATCCATTTCATCCTGGGTCTTCCTCTCCTGCGTTGTCCCTCCACTCTTCCAAGCCTGATGTCCTTCTCCAAGGACTGGTCTCTCGTGACCACACGCCCAAAGTATGTGAGATGGAGCTTCAAAATTCTTGCCTCTGAGGAGCAGCTTGGTTTCACCCTCTTTCTATATCAATAACACAAATAAATAACATAGTCAAGAAATAAGTGGTGTTCTTTACTTTATCAAAAGAAAGTTTATTTGTGTTTTATTGATCCTACAAAGGCATTTGACTATGTGGATCATAACTAATTACAGCTAAAGTTGAGAAGAATGGGAATCCCAGAACACTTGTGTTCATGAAAAGCCTACACCTAGATCAAGAGTAGTCTATCGTGCAAACAGAGCACGGGAACACTGTTGTTGCTGTTAGGTGCTGTAGAGTCAAGTACAATCTATAGTGACCCATGAACAACCAACCTGAACCCTCTGCTACCTGTGCCACCTCACAATTTCTGACACATTCAAGCCCATTGTACCAGTCACTGTCAGTCTAGCTGGTTGAGGGTCTTCTCCTTTGCCAACCCTCCACCTTCTCAAGCATGATGCCTCTCTCCAAGGATCAGCCCCTCCAAGCAACATGCTTGAAGTATTTGAGACAAAGCCTTATTTATTATCTTTGCCTTCAAGGAGCACTCTGACTTCACCTTCTCCAATACACATCTGTTTGTTCGTAAGGCAGGCCACGGGATTTTCATTCCTCTTCTCCAACACCACTGTTCAAAGGCATCGATTTTTCTTCCATCATCCGTATTCATTCATTGTTCAGCTCTTAGAAGCATGGCAAGTTACTGAAAAGACCCTGGCCTGAATCAGGCACACCTTAATCTTCAAGCTGACATAATTGCTCTTCAATAATTTGAAAAGTTTCCCTACTGAGGACTTTCCCACTGCAATATGACTCCTGATTTTCTGACTGCTGGTACCAAGAGCATTGATTGTGGATCCAAGTAAGAAAAAAAATCATTGATAATTTCACTCTTTTCTCCATCTATTAATATCACAATATTGAAGGATGATATGGGCAATATGTTGAATGATCCAGGAAATACACAGTTACTGTACCATTAAGAATTGACTGAAATGAAAACATTTCAGGAAAGAACCATATGAACAAGAGCCAATGGTAATGAAGGAAGAAGGTAAAGCTGTACTGAAGGCATAAGCAAAAAATGAGACATCAGCAATCAATGGAATACTGATTGATATATTTCAACTCCCAGATGCAGCCCTTCGTGTGCTCACCTTCACACGCCCAGAAGTGTGGAGAAGGGAGCACTACATAGTTTAAAATTAAGAAAAATGCTCATCAGAATTTTAACCTTTCTCCATACCTATTTAATCTGCATGCTTAGCAAATTATTCGAGAACTTGGACTCTGTGAAAAATAATGTGACATCAGGATTGGAGGAAAACTTATCAATCATCTTTGTTATAGAGATGATACCACTTTGCTTGCTGAAAGTGAGGGAGACTTGAAGCACTTACTGCAGAAGGTTAAACACTGAAGCATTAAATATGGATTGCAGCTCAACATAAAAAAAAACAAATTCTCACTATTGGACCTGTGGGCAACAACATGATAGATGGCGAAAAGATTGAAATTGGTTCTACAATCAGTATACTTGGTACCAGCAATCGGGAGATCAGGAGAGAAAGACCCTCTACCAGATGGGTTGACACAGTGACTGCAGCACTGAGTTTGAGTGTGTCAGAGACTGTGAGGATGGCACAGGACAGGACAGGGTTCAGATTTGTTGTTCACAGGGTCTTTTAATATGACAGCCAGGAAAATTCCATGAAGCAGTCCCCTTCTCAAATACATGGAATCACCACGAATCAGAATCAGGTTTGCTTTCAGTTCTCCAGTCAAATGTCACCTTCTCTGAGGAGCCTCCTTGGATGGAGCGGCCTGTGCAAAGGGGCGTTCCCACTCCCCGTTTTGCCCTCCTTCCCACCAGAACCATCTTTATTGTGTCTGTCTTCCAAGCCTAGATCAGAGCTCCCAGCAGCAGCTTTGCCTTATTCATGTCAGTATCCCCAGAACCAGCGAGGGTTCCTGGCTCTGAGTAAACTTAGTAATTTCATCTTGAGTGAAGAAAGTGACTCCTTGCTGAGTCCTGGCAGCCTCATCTGGTGCCCGGGATTGTAACTCTGACCTGTGAGCTGCAGGCATGAGATGCGCTGATGTGTATCTCACAGTTTTGCTTTTCCATCCTTACAGGTACCATGGCAGGAGTGGGTAGAGCCCTCCACAAGACGGTCCCCTGTTTTAAGGGCAGCCTCAGACATCATCTCTCGTCCTAGGAAGGTCAGCCGGCCCAAGCATGGTCACGGGCAGCAACGGACATGGAAGCACAGATGGGAACCCCAGAAGGGCCTCCAGGAATCCTGGGCCCAGCGTCTACTCTCCTGGCAGCACCGGTGTCAGGGCCCACCGTGGAGTGCCCACACCCACTTGGAACCCATCCTGGGTCCTACCACCTTTTCCAACACCTGCCTGCTCCCTTGGAACGGTGCCTGGGATTCAAGTCAAGTTCCCTGGCATCTCAGGGATGGACACACTACCCTGACTGGCCAGCCACTGTCCCTTGGCCTGGAGATGCACCAAAGGAGGGAGCAGTTGTCTGTCCCCTCTCCAGAAGAGCTAGAGCGTCCGGAACCCCCCATCAGCATGAGGCCCCACCCCACTCCCATGTCCTTAGCCTCCTCTTTCTCAAACCTCCCTTCAGCTCAGATGCTGCAAGTCTGGTCCAGAGAGGTCCTGCCTGTTCCCTCTAACCAACAACTGGGAATGCCCACATGGGACTGTCCCCAGGAATCCTGGGCACCAGAGGGAGAAAACCAGACACCAGATGGAGGAGAGGAGAGTGGAAAGAACTGGGCTTCAAGGTGGGGAATCCAAAGGGAAAACAGAGAAGATGCTGGAGATGCCCAGGCATCTGGACAGCAACTCTTCATAGTCTTTGGGATGGAGGACGGCACAGAGGCTGAGATCCTGGGGTGGGGAGACCAGAGACCAGTAACTGGTGAAACTGATGGAGAGATCACAGAAGCAGGGTGGGAGAACCAGGACCAGATGGGAAGTGAGGATAGAGGCAAAATTCAGGAACTGGGGGAGAGATACCAGAGGAAGCCTGGAGGCGGGAGTGCTCCTGGAAGCCAGGCATACGGGGCAGAGAGCCAGGAGCAGTTAAGATACAGGACTGATGCTCAGACGCAGACAACTGAGAGGAGAGAACAGGGTGATCATGGAGAAAAGGATGCTGATGAGATGCAAGGATTTCAAAGGACGAATCAGAGCGAGCCCAGAGAGCAGGATGACGGAGCGAGAAAGGCCCAGGGATCAGGAAAGCAGGACCTGGCTGGAGGCGGGCATCGCGAGAAGACACAGATGCCAAGCTGGGGGGAACAAGACCAATATGGAGGGGATCATGAGGCAGGCATTCCGGCAGAAGAGAGGGCAAATAAGGACCAGGTTGGAGGTGGGGAGGCTCTGTGTTTTCAGTCATCTGAAAGGAAGCCCGTGGGACAGGTCAAAGAAGAAGGCAGTGTTGAGGCATGGGTGCTGGAGGAGGAAAATCAGGAATGGATTGGAAATGAGAATGCGACAGACTGCTGGACAGGCTGTTGGACACCAGGGTGGAAGAAGCAGGATGGAGCTGGGAGTGAGAAAGCTAGTGGGGAGGAGGAAATCAAATTAGGGCTTCAGAGTCCAGGGAGCTTGGGAAGACACAGCCTGGCAAAAGGTGACGATGCCAGGAAAACCCAGATGTCTTGCAAGAAGAAACTCAAAGAGATAAGAGAAGAAGACTGGCTGAAAATCCAGTGGCTGGAGTGGGAAAGGGAGAGAGTGGTAGCATGTGACATTGACAAGGAATTGGAGCGATCCTGTTTGGATTATCAGGGTCAGGTTGGAGAGGACCAGAGAGCGGAGAGCTGGACATCAGAGACAAGACGCAGGAGAGAAAAGGGAGGTGAGGATGGTACAGAAACCTGGGCACTGGGGCGAGAAAACCGGAGTCAGTCACGAGCCGAAGCCAATATAGAGACACATTCATCAGAGAAGAAAATCCAGGAGAAACTGCAAAAAGAGGATGGTGCAGCCATGCAGGCACCAGAGAAGAGTCTGCTGAGAGGACTGAGAAAGGAAGAGGACAAGGAGACTGCAAGACTTGAGGAAGAAAACCAGGGTCAGTTAAGAAGTGAAATCTGTAAAACAATTGCCAGAGCCATGTGTAAGAATCGGGGACATATTCGAGGCAAGGATGATGCAAACCTTCAGGTGTCGGAGGGAAAGAACTGGGTGAAATTAACAACTGAAGCAGATGGAGAAACCCACCTCGCTGGGTGGAAGAAAGAGGAGCAGATTGAAAGTGTGAAAAACACCGAATTTCAAGCTCCAGAGAAGAGAAAAGATAGAGTCGCTGGAGGCACAGATAGTGCAGAGACCTGGGCAGCAGGGGAGGAAAAGCAGAGTCAGTTAACAAGTGGTAGAGAGGCCTGTCTATCAGGATGGATGAACCAGGAACAGGGAGTAGGTGAAAACAGTACAGAAATAAGAACCCTGAAAGAAGGGGGAGGCAAAGAAGGTGACGTGACCCAGGAACCCGAGAGAGAGAACCAAGGACAGCCAGACGATGAAATTGACAGAGACAGAGATTCATTATGGAAGATGAACCAGGAGCAGGCTGGAGGTGAGAATGGTGCAGAATGTCAGGCCTCAAAGAAGCGAAACCAACGAGAGGTCGTACATGACAACAGTGCGAAGATTTGGGGACTTGGAGGAGAGCTCCAAGGACTGCTAAGAAGCACAGTTAATGGAAAGACCAACTCATTAAAGTGGAAGAACCAGGAGGAGATGGGAGACAAGAATGATGCAGAAATTAAAATGCAAGGGAAGAGAAATGTGAAAGGGAATGAATGTGATGACGGTGCAGGGATCCACGCATCTGGGATTGACTATCAGGAGGAGTTAGGAGGTGAAAGTGGTACAGAAATCCAGACACAAGGGCAAGGGAACCAGAACAAGGCTGGTGATGCAGAGGCTGTTAAAATCCAGAATGCTGAGAGCCAAGGGAAGTATGGAGCTGAGGATACTGGAGGGCCTCAAATCTCAAGGCCCAGAAAGGGGAAGCAGCTCGTAGGGGAAGATTTTGAGAAGGTAGGTCTCCCGTTTGACTGTGCAGGTGGTGACGGGCCCATGAGCTTCCAGCACAGCCTAGCATGGCCGCCAGCCTTCACTGGGTCTGGATATGGGGCCATGGAACAAGGACAGGCCGTCAGTACAAACAGTTCAGCTTCTGTCCCCAGCCCTGAGGTGAAGCACCTGGCCCAGCTGGGTGAGGACTCCCTGCTGGCCAGTGAGGCTGAAGCACATCTGGACAGCTGGAGCAGGGCCCCTGCCAGCGAGTGCAGAGCTGAGGCTTGGGGGCCTCCCCGTGAATCCCAGGAAGCCCAACAAAAGGACAAAGACCAGGTTCCAGGGAAAGCCCCCTGCTTGACTCAGGGACAGCCCTGGAACTCTCAGTCTGTGACCGCCCTGGACCTGACCTCCGCCAGCCCTTCTCTCCAAGGTGACTCAGTCCCCCAGGCTGCCCCAGCTTTGGTGGGCACTCCCGTTGCCCTCCCTGTCCTGCCCAAGTGCTCAACCCTCCGGAAGAGCAAGAAACTGCTCCTGGAGGCCCTCATGCGGCGGAAAATTGCACACCTGACGTGGGGCCTTCCCCAGCGCATCCTGCAGTCCTACTTACTCCTTAATTTACCAGGACCTTGCCCATTGTCCACTGCTGGCGTGGGCCCTCTCAGTTTGCACACAGACGATGGGTTCCAAGGGCAGCAGAAAAGACTCTGTGAAACAAAGCAGAAGCCCCCGCCAAAGCCCCCACGGGTTCGACCTCCAGGAGGAAAGTCAGCCCTGGAGAAGAGTGGACCCTACCTTCCAGAACCACCCAGCAGGCCCAACCACGCACAGACACCCAGGAGGTCCAGGCCACCAGGTGGTGCCAGAGACACACCAGGTGCGATGCAGACTGAGGCCTCCGTGAAGCCCAAGCCTGAAACAGAGTCTGGGAGCTGGAGTTGGGGAGAAAGGGAAAAGGCCTCAGAGCCTTCCAGTGAGAGGAGCTGCGGGGAGGATAAGGCAGTTCCTGAGACGTCAGAGAGGGCTTCCAGTATTAGAGTGTGCCCCTCAGGCTCTAGGCCAATCCAGGGCCACTGGAGGAAGAAGCGCCTCTCCACCAAATTTCTGCAGCCTTCAGGCTGGCGAAGAAGAAACTTACAACCTGTGCCTGGCCGAGCAGCCGGGCAGCAGCCTTTCTCCGGTTCTGCAGACCTCTCCAACTTCAAGCAGAGTCTCCGATCGACTGCAGCCAGGCTGAGCAAGGCCCTTCTGAACAAGATGCCCTGGTCCCCACAGCCTCTACACTCTGTCCCCTACGTGAGCCTGCAGGATCCTGATTCCAGCCCTCTGCTTCCCAAAGCAGAGAACCCACACCCAAGAGAGAACAGCACTGAAGCTATCCTGTCTTTGGAACGGAACCTTCAGCCACCAAGTCACTACTGTGCTGGCACCCCTCTGCCCGGGGATAAGAGCCCGCAGGATCAGGGGGCACCTGGAAACCAGCACAAAGCCTCACGGAGCTCCCACAAGTTTGTTTTTGTGAAGAATTTCAGGTCTGTTCTGTCCCAGCTTGACTTTAGAAAGTCATCTGTAGTTCCAGCGTCTTTGGGGCATGCAGAGAAGGCAGGAGAGTGGCCAGCTCACTCCCAAAGCCTCTAATAAAATTGCTTATTTGATCTTTGGTTTCTGAGTTCTTTGGACATGTTCTCTGAGCGCCTCCTTTTGTAATTAGGGTTGTTGTTTATTGTTGTTGTTATGTGCTGTCGAGTCATTTGCGACTCGTAGCGACCTTATGTACAACAGCCCTAAACCTTGCTCTATCCTGTGCCAATCGCATGGCTTCTGACACACCCATCCCGATTACCCCAGTCACTGAATCAATCCACCTCATAGAGGGTCTTCCCCTCCTGCGTTGTCCCTCCACTCTACCCAGCATGATGTCCCTCTCCAAGGACCTGTCCCTCCTTGCAACATGCCCAAAGTATGTCAGACGAAGCCCCAGAATCCTTGCCTCCAAGGAGTTGCTTGGTTTAATCCTCTCCAGGATGAATCTGTTTTCTTAGCAGTCCATGGTACATTCAGTACCCTTCTCCAGCACCACAGCTCAAAGGTGTCAATTCTCCTTCTATTCTCCCTAGTCATTGTCCAACTCTCTGATGCATAACAAGTGATTGCAAAGACCATGGCCTGTATCAGGTGCACCTTAGTCTCCAGAGAGACACCATTGCTCTTGAGTACTTTAGAGAGGTCCCTAACAACAGACTTTCCCCATAGCAATATGTTTTTTGACTTCCTGACTGCTGGTGCCAAGAGTGTTGACCATGGAGCCGACTGGAGTACTCTAGGTAAAATCCACTGACACCCCGTGGTTAAGAAGCTCTACGGCATGAGGGTCAGTCTAGTGTCATCTCCTAAATACCTTCCCTGTTCTCCTCACAGTAGCGCCCACTGGGGTTTCCATTCAGACAGGTCCTGTCCCCAGTTATCCCTGTCTGAGACATGACACTTTATCCCAGCTACCTTGGGGAGCACTGGTGTGCGGCTGGTGCACGGATTCTTTTGGTGAGCTCTGGTGGCCATAGTGAGTTCCTCTGCTGACACATAGACAGCGCTTGGCTGGCAGTTCAAATCCACCTTCGCTTCTCAGGACAAAGATGGCCAGTCTCCTCCTGCGCAATTCACAGTCTCTGAAAACCCCATGGAAGATCAGCTATGCATTGATTCCAGCATGGCAGCAATGAGCTTCTGGAAGCTTTTGGTCTGGTTCTTATGGATCTGTCCCAGTTGTTGTTCTGCCGCTGAGCCCCACAGCTGGGCTTCTGCTCATTAGCAGAGTTCATGGACCAAGGTAGCCCCACTTCTTCCATTCCCAAGTTCTGGAGCCCTGCTTGGCCCACTTGTGGGAATCCTGAAGTCAATAGTTTATTTTCTTTAAATAAAGTCTGAAATTTCTGAGTCAGCTGACGTTGTGTCTTGCTCTCCTTTGTACCTCATGGTGAAGGTCCACATAACCTACAACGTGCAGGTCAGTCCTGAAGACCTCCCCTCCCGGGGCTGCTCACGGCAGGGCCCGCTGCGGTTTGTCATGGCCCTTCACGCTTCCATAGCTGGAGACAGATTGGAGATGGGAAAGTATTTGAGTGCTGTCCTTCCTTTATTTTCTCCCTTCCTCACTTAATTTTTTTTAAAAAAACCAAAACAACAAACACCCAAAGAAATGTAATTGTCATGTTGTTAGTTGCTATTGAGGTGACTACAGTTCACAGTGAACAGGAGATCTGAACCTTGTCCTATCCTGCGCCATCCTCAGTTTCTGACGTGCTGGATTGCTGCTGTGTCAGTCCACCCAGCTGAGGGTCTTCCCCTCTGATCCTCCTCCTTTCCCAGCATGATGTCATGTCCCAAGGATTGGCCCCTCCTGAAAACATGCCCGAAGAATGTGAGATGAGGTTTCATCATCCTCGCCTCCAAAGACCACGGGCGTGCACTTCCTTCAAGGTGGATTGGTTTGTTCTTTTGGCAGTCCATGGGATACTTAGTACTTCTCACCAACATAACAATCAAAGGCATCAACTCTTCTGTCATCCTGATTCACTGTCCAATTTTCAGACACATAGGAAGTAATTGAAAACACCATGGCTTGAATCAGGTACACACCTTAGTCTTTAAATTGACAGCCTTACTCTTTAGCACTTTGGAGAGCTCCTTGACAGCAGATTTTCTCACTGTAACATCTTTTTTAATTTTCACACTGCTGTTATCATACATTCCATTAAAGAGTTTGTTGTTATGTGTGACTCATAGCGGCCTTATGCATAATGGCTCTGATCTCTGACCTCTCTTGAGTCAGTGTCATTGTTTGACACACCACTACTCCATTATTTGAGTTACTGTGTCACTCTATCTCATGCACTGTCTTCCTCTCTTGTGCTGTCCCCTTCTGAGCATTATATCTTTTTCCAAAGACTGGTCCCTCCAGGCAACACACTCAAAGGATGTGAGGTGCAACTTCAAAATCCTTGCCTCCAGGGTGCAACCTGGTTTTCACCCTTTCCAGGACAGACCTCTTTGTTCTCCTGGCAGTCCACGGTATATTCTATACTCTTCTCTTACACCACAACTCAAAGGCATCAATTTTTCTTCTATCATCCTTAGTCACTGCCCAGCTCTCTGATGCATAGCAAGTAATTGCAAAGAACATGGCCTGGAACAGGTGGACCTTAGTTAGTCTCTAGACTGATACTGTTGTTGTTCAGCACTCTGGAGAGGTCCCTGACAGCATATTTACCAAGTGCAATTAGGTTTTTTTAAATTTCCTGATTGCTGGTGCCACAAGTGTTGACTGTGGAACTGAATAAGCTGAAATTGTTAGCAATCTCAATCTCTTTTTCATTTATTATGGTGTTGCCAATTGGCCCAGTGGTAAGACTCTTTGTTTTTCTAATATAGAGCTTCAATCCATACTGAAGACTGCAGTCCTCGACCTTCTGCAGCAAACGTGTCACATCCTCCTTCATTTCGGCAAGCCAGGTTGTGTCAATCTGCACAACACAGGTTGTTGATGAGTCTTCCTCCAATTCTGGTGCAACATTCCTCCTCAAAAAGTCCAGTCTCCTGAATGATCTGTTCCACATATTATTTGAAAAGGTATGAAGACAGGATGCATCCCTGACAGCACTTCTTTCCTAATTTTGAACCATGTAGGAGCGGCATCCACTTCCGAAATGGCTTGCCTCTGGAAACTCGATGTACTAACAGTGCTCAGGCCTTTCGTTCATAGGGTCGCTATGAGTCATCGATGACTCAGTGGCACCTAACAACATTTCCTTGCTCCGTTGTGATGACCTCTTCCTGGTCCGAGTATAGATTTTGCATGAGCACCATCAGGTATTGTTCTGGGATTCTGATTCTTCTCAAGGTTAGCCACACTTTGTCATGATCCACACAGTCAAATGCCTTTGCAGAGCCAAGAAACATAGACATTCCTCTATTCTCTAGTTTCAACCAAGATCCATTTGATGTTGGCTATGATGTCTCCAGTACCATGGCCTCTTCTAAACTCAGCTTGCAATTCTGGCAGTTCTCTGTTGACGTTCTGTTCTAATTCTTCTTGGATAATCTTCAGCCGGATTTTGCTTGTGTATGATACCAGCGATATTATTATTTAGAAATTTTAAAAAATTAAAATAATTCATAGTCAATATTTGGATGTGTTTTATTCTCTCTTTTTTTTTTAAATTTCCATGCATTAAAAACATTTTGTCATCAAATCTATTCTGGGTCACAGCAAACCTATAGGAAGAGTAAAACAGGCCAGCAGGATTTCCAAGGCAGTAATCTTTATGGAAGTCAATTGCTACATCTTTCTCCCACAGCGAGGCTGGTGAGTTCAAACTGCTGACCTTTTAGGTAGCAGCTGAATACCGTACCACTGTTGTTGTTAAGTGCAGTTGAGTCTAGTTCAACCCATAGAGACCCTATGAACCACAGATCTGAACCCTCTCCTATTCTGTACCATCCTCACAATCTCTGACACACTTGAGCTCACTGCTGCAGTCAATTCATATCATTGAAGGTCTTCTTCTTTTGATGACTGTTCACCTTCCCAAGCATGATGTCATTTTTCAAGGAATAACCTCTCCTAGCAATATGCCCAAATTATGGGAGATGAAGCTTTGTCATATTTGCCTCCAAGGAGCACTCTGGGTATACATTTTCCAAGACTATCTGTCTGTTCGTTTTGTAGTCGATGTGCCAAGCAGCCACACTGAAGATCCCCCTGAGCTACTGTCCATGGTTTGCTGTTAGCCTGTAAAATGCATCCCAGAGGTGCCTGCCTTCTGGTGCTCGTGCCTGTGTGAAAGCCACTCTGCTTAACTGCAGATGAGATTTAGTGATTCACTTCTTACATGTAGAGTTGTTGTTGTTGTTATGTGCAGTCAAGTCGCTTGCAACTCATAGCAACTCTATGTACAACAGACCTAAACCCTACTCTGTCCTGTGCCAATCTCATTGTCTCTGACACACCCACCCCAATTATCCCAGTCACTGAAGCAATCCACCTCATAGAGGATCTTTCCCTCCTGTGCCGTCCCCCCACCCTCCCAAGAATGATGTCCCTCTCCAAGGACCAGTCCCTCCTTATAACATGTCCAAAGTATGTCAGACGAAGTTTCAGAATCCTTGCCTCCAAGGAGCAGCCTGGTTTAACCCTCTCTAGGATGAACCTGTTTGTTTTCTTAGCAGTTCATGGTACATTCAGTACTTTTCTCCAGCACCACAGCTCAAAGACATCAATTCTCCTTCTCTCCTCCCTAGTCATTGTCCAACTCTCTGACTCATAACAACTGATTGCAAAGACCTAGGCCTGTATCAGGCATACCTTAGTCTCCAGAGTGACTCCATTGCTCTTCAGTACTATGGAGAGGTCCCTAACAACAGACTTTTCCATCGTAATATGTCTTTTAATTTCCTGGCTGCTGGTGCCAAGAATGTTGACTGTGGAGCCAAGCAAACTAAAGCTGTGAACAATCTCAATCTCTGCATCATCCATCCGGATGCTGCCCCAAAAAATGTGACTTCTATCTTGGGCATTCGCTTTTTCCTTGTTTTCTCACAAAAGGAAGCTAGTCTTCATGTTGTCATTTAACCTGTGGTACATGTGGTAAGGAATTAGGGGGAGGCCAATGAACACGAGCCAGAGAGGTACTGAGACCCTCAGTCCAACAAATGGCAAGGAATCCTGCCACTACTCACAGGCTTTGGAAGCAAGTCCGTCAGCCTTGAAGGAAACAATGAGTCTTGGATGGCTCTAGCCTCAGCGGAGAGTTGAACAATATTCTCAGGAGAGACCTCAAGCCAGAGGCTTCCAGCTAAACCGCACCTGGATTTCTGACCTGCAGAAACCAGGAAACTTCCCCCCACTCTGTTATCTTTCAAGTCCTTTCATTTCTTCATGTTGGAATTTCTTTTCTCCTTTAAAGAGAATAACAGTCATAATAGACTTGATCATAACTAGAATGTAGAAGTAAACAAATAGGTTTCTTAAAAGGTAATTTATTTAATCCCAAGCATTGAGGAATCTCCTTCATAGGGTCGCTATGAGTCGCCTGAGACTCGACGGCACTTAACAACAATAACATCACCAGAGCTAGAGATCAGCTGCCCCAGTGGACAGAAAGTGATGCTACCAAGCCACAGGTGGGTGACTTATAATCCGCGGACCTCGGGCCTGTCTTTCATTGTTTTTGTTCAGACATTCCTCTAGGTCGTATAGCCCTGGTGTACAAGCTGCCGTACAGTGGTAACTTGTGGTTGCTGTGAAGCGAAACACTGTGACACTGATGTGTCAAATGCATTAATGGCTGGTTACCCAATGCGGACAGAGAGTGGGGTGGAGCTCCCCGATTAAAACAAGTTTGGAAGGAGGAGTGGCATCCACTTCCTCAAGAGCTTGCCTCCGGAAGCCCTATGAACCTGGAGAGAGGATGAAAGGCACCCAAGTGTTGAGGACTCTCCTTCATAATAGGGTCGCTATGAGTCACCTGCGACTCGACGGCACTTAACAACAACAACAACAACAACAACAACTTATTTAATATATTTTTTCTTGTTTTTTGAGGTATTTCTTTTGATTTCCCCCCCTCCATTTATCCATGGCCAACTGAGGGGAAGAGATCCATTCCAAAAAAGGTGACCCGACAAAGTGTGGGAATTATTGAACAATAGCATTATTATTTTTTGTTTGAGGCAGTACCTAAAGTATGAGAGATGGAGTTTCAAAATCCTAGCCTCCAAGGAGAAACTTGGTTTCACCCTCTCCAAAACAGACCTATTTGTTTTCTTGGTAGTCCATGATATGTTCAAGACTCTTCTCCAGTACCGCAACTTGAAGGCATCAATTCTTCTGTCACCCTTAGTTATTGTTCAGCTTTCTGATGCATAATAAGTAATTATGAAGACCATGGCCTGGGTCAGACGCAACTTAGTTTCTAGACTGACATCATTGCTTTTCAGGAATCTGGAAAGGTCCCTGACAGCAAATTTGCCTAATGCAAATCATCTTTTGATTTCCTGACTGCTGGTGCCAAAAGTGTTGAAACTGTGGCCAGGAGAGACCAGTGTTTGGAGAAGGATATCATTCTTGGAAGGGTGGACGGACAGCGCAGGAGAGGAAGACCCCGGATGAGATGGATTGACACATTGACTGGGGCAATGGGGGCTGGTATGTTGGAATTAGTGAGACTGGCTCGGGAGAGGGCAGAGTTAGAGTTGCTGTACATAGATTCGCTATGGTCGTAGGTGACTCGATGGGTCATAACAACAAGATAGAGTTATTTGTTGTTTTTAAGCTGCTAAATCTTGGGAGTTAATTTCTTTCTTTTTTTTTTTTTTTGGAGTTAATTTCTTAAGAAATTACCACAGATTTGGTGGTTTAAAATAATAGAAATGTATTCACTCACAGTTAAAGAGATAAGACATCTCAAATTGAGGTGTTGATAGAGTTGTACTCACCAGCAAGATTCAGGAGGTGATCTGTTTCCTAGTTCACCCAGATTTTGGGGAATCCAGGCATTTTCTGGTTCACTCATAACTTCAATCTCTGCCTCTCTGGTCACATTGTCTTCTCTGTATGTTTCCTTTAAGGACATTTGCCATTGGATTTATTGTCCATCTGTATGTTACAGGTTGACCTCTTCATCTCATGATCCCTCATTCATTTGCAAAGGTCTTTTTCTCAAGGAATATAACATCCACAGATGGCAGAAATTAAAATGTAGATCTGTTTTGAGTGAGGGCCAATACTCAACCCACAGGATAGAGTGGTGATTTATATTTTTAAATGCAACAATAGAGCAATAGCGACCACATATGTTGTTAGCTATGTCAGTCACCCCTGACTCACCATGACCCAGACACATTTTTTTTTCCTTGTTAAAAACTACTGTTCTGGAAAAAGTCATTCCATAATACCTCGTTGAATAAGAAACCATTGCTTCTCAAGCTATTCTACTATGGAAAGGATATTATCCACAGTCTCTGAATGTAGAACACACTATTGAACTTAATGCCTCAATATTAACTCTTTCTTGGGCACATGAAACTACATAAATCAGCGGTGGCAGACTTATTATTCTTATTGATAAAATACTTGATCCTCATTAGTCATTGTGCACTCACAAATTTCTAGGTACTCGGCAGTGTCCCATGGTTTAAGGACAGAGTATTAGATTCTTTGAAAGAAAATTATTTGGTAATTTAAAGTAATAATAATCCCTGAGTTAATTTACTTTAAAAGTTTCATAGCAGAAATAGGCTAAAGACTAAAGACAGCTTCTTCGTAAGTGTTTTCCAACATTGGTGAAAATGCTCCTCAACTACGATTTTGGTTGAAAGTTTTTCAACTGTGATGAAAACGAATTGCTGGGCTCTAAGGGCAAGTGAAATTGCGAAGACTATAGCCCAAATCAGGCGCACCTTAGTCTCTAGCCTGACGTTGTTGCTCTTTTGTACTCTGGAGAGGTCCCTAACAGCTAGTGACTTTCCCAGTGCAATTGGTCTCTTGATTTCCTGGCTGCTGGTACCAAGAGTGTTAGCTGTGGAGTCAAGCAAATTAAAACTGAGGAGTTGGACAGTGACTAGGGATGATAGAGAATTGATGCCTTTGAGCTGTGGTGCTGGAGAAGAGTGTTGAATATACCACGGACTGCTAGGAGAACAAACAGGTTTGTTCTAGAGAGGGTGAAGCCGGGCTGCTCCTTGGAGGCAAGGATTCTGAAGCTTCGTCTGACATACTTTGGGCATGGTTCAAGGAGGGACTGGTTCTTGGAGAGGGATGTCATCCTTGGGAGAGTGGAGGGACAGTGCAGAAGAGGAAGACCCTCGATGAGATGGATTGATACTGTGATTGGGGTGGTGGGAATGAATGTGTTGGAGACAATAAGGTTGGTATAGGATAGA